GTCTATAGCAGCACCTCTTTTGGCAGCTTTGCTGTCAATGTTTGAAAGGTGAAAGTACTGTTAAGGAAAACTTGAATAGCACCATAAGGCTGACTTCCTGTGCTCTCGAGTGCTCAGGTCTTAGCAGTCACTGTGCACCACATACTTACACAAACACACACACACACACCACATCCTGATGTTACTGTAAGCCTGTAGTGTTGTCTCCTAGTGCTACTAAATAAGATATATAATCCACAACTTGTGTTCTAATGACCGTATTACACATTATCTTCTTTCTCACCTTACACCTTTCCTCACCTCTCCCTCGCTCTTTGCTCAGAGAACTCCTGGTGGCATCCTCTCTTCAAATAGCTGTAATCAACACTGATATTCTCTAAGACCCCTCTCTTCAAGGCATTAATCAGATTGGATTGTACTGCATTGCCACAGGGGGCCGTTAGAACTGATATTCTTTTGACAAGGACACAGAACAAAGAGATTCTTTGATTGAGAGTGATTGGACTGTAATGGTTAATTGGAGCAATTCCTCATCACGACCTCTGTCTTATTACCACCCTTCTTCTCTTTCCCACCTCTTTTGGCACTGTCTGTCTTTTTCCCCCCTCTTTGGCTGCATTTTCGTCTTAAATCTGAGCTGCATGTGAATAGCGTCACTGTATCATCCTCCCCTTCCCTCCGCTCCCTCTTCCCTCTGTTTTTTCCAAGGTCACCGCAACTCAGTCTAATTCACTTTTCTTTGATGATAAAATCCTGTCCCAACTTTAGCCAAATGTCCGTTTCCCCGTGGAGTTGAGATTTATCTCAATTACTTCTCCACCGGTGTGTCTGCCAGCTTCTAAACATGAGTATCAGAGTGCCAGGTTCACCCAGGGAGAAACAGTAAATCTTTTGATGTCTTCTGAGTATCCATTGGCTATACGGCGGGGCTGTAAATTCCCTTAAAGCAGCACACAGCTTTATAAAAGACAGCAGGAAATCCAGTCCCTGACAAGGAGAATGTGGACTAATCTACCACCGTTTCAATAAATATGGCAAAATGCTTTTAAATAACACATAAACTGGTGTAAATCCTGTCACCAATGTCGAGCAATAACAGCAATATTTCTTTATTTTCGTACTTGTGTGTGAATGAATAAGACTTTGTTTACTGTTAATGGTAGTTTGGCATCTATTTAGAACCTGTTTGTATAAATATGTGATATGCCGATCCTGAGTATGCGTAATAAGGATGTCATAATACAGGAAAAATACTAGCGGGAAGTGGGAATTTAGGCTGGAAGTCTGTGAGACCAAGGCGGGCAAAGAAAGAATAATATCCAGGGACAGAGGGAGAGAACAGAAATCAGTATTGAGGGAGAGTCCTGGCTGACTCGTCATGTCCTTGTGCAGGATTTATGAGCTCTAAGATCAGGGACAGGTTTAGCGAGAAAGTGCTAGGAGGAGGAATGGATGGGAAAGTGAAAGGAAAGTAGGAGGAATACGAGGATGGTGTTACAGCAGGGAGAAAGTGCCAAATTTCAGGCCTAAGTGGGCTCAGACTGCACTGTGGGTTGAGACGTCCCTCTTGCATAATAGCAGGTGACAGGAGGAAGAATGGCAAGGCCAAGAGGAAGAGATGGAAGAATAAAAAATGGGCTGAATAGAGAGAAGATGAAAAAAAAAACAGAGCCTAAACATTATCCAAGCGCCAGAGGTCAGTGATTTGATTAACACCTGCGAGATACAGGGCAAGACACAGAGAGCGCGACAGCAAACAGAAAGCAAAGGACAAGAAAAAAGCAAAGAGAGGAGGGGGAAAGAGAGAGTGGAGGAAGATCAGGTTAGGGAGGATGGAGAGCTGGGGAAATGCAAGATGAGGAGTGGAAAGGTGTTGCCGAGGAGGGCTGAGGCTGTGTGGGTGCTGTAATCTGTTTGTGTCAGAGAAATGATGAAGGGGCCAGGAGGGAGAGCTCTGCAGTTCACCTTCTGGCCCCTGGAGGAAACACACTGACCCTGGCCCTCCCCCTTTGCCCACCTCCCTTTTCCACCACCACTCCACCTGCGCGATTTATGACTCACCGGGTCGGTCCAGGGTTGCTCGGTCTGAGGACATTTGTGAATCTAGTTGCGGCGGCAGTGCATCACTTTTTTAGTGCGCGTCTACGTGCGTGTGCGCGCGTTGAACACAAAGCATGTGTAAAGAAAGCTATTGTATGTCAAGGAGGATGAGACATTAGAGCTACCCGGGGAAAGGGCAGTAATGATTTTTATCCTGGGCTCTCAGAGCGAACAGAGGCACATCTCGAAATAATCCAGCGTGACAGAGTTTGGAAGGAGAAAGACTGACAGAACTAGAAAAGATGACTGAATGATGGGGGAGTAGTTGTATTGCATACTGATGATTTCACTCCACTGCCCAATTTAATCACGATAAGCTGAATGTCTCAGTGAGCCCATTACATCTTAAAAACAAAACAACAACAAAAAAACAACTTGAAACAATTATCTTCTGTTCCAGGAAATTTCCACTGTGTTCTGACATTTTAAAGCTGAACTAATCAATATTCTTTAGATATGAAAGAAATGATTCAGTGACTCTGTGTTCCTGTCAAAGGGGTCACTTTTAGTAAGGAAGCCACACATAACTCCCCTCAGCTCCACAGTGTGTTTTAGCATATTTTGTTTATCTTATGACTTTGCAACTTTTTAATGTTTTGGTTCACAAAACCACACTCATCATGTCTGGCTCGAACAGGCAATGGATAGAGCTCTGAGAAGTCGTTATGTACAACATGCTGCTTTACCTTCATATTCAGGGGTCACCATCTTGGCTAGAAGGTCCAATTATCAGTCATCAGGTGAAGAATATGTGATGCCAGTGCTAGCTAATTAGCTTAGAGCAGCATTTTTTGTGGCATTGATGTCACGCTACAGTCATAGGAGGTAAAAAACAGCGCAAACAGAATTGTTGTGAACTTTGTTTTTCCCTTTAAGGACCGGGACCAGGCTTGTGACCATTCACAGTCAGTGGCTGTCTTCAAACCAACTCTGATGCATCAACACGCTGATAAAACAACAATCAGGCAGAATCAGTCTCCTATTAGTTTGCAAATGAATGGGGACATGTTGGTCATGACTGTTTGTGATAATATGCTGATTAACTGTGAAAACACTATTGCAAAAATCTCATCTGCATACACAGAAATTCACATGAACTACTTACTTTCAGAGTCCAGCCAGAACATCAAACAGAAAATCAGAAACGTATCCACAAATAGTGACATAGTTGCTGCAGAGATTTAACTACAAAATGGCATAGCTAGCTTTCATATGGGAATATAATCAGAATACAACCAGTTGGCGATTACCTGAGACAGTTCCCCTATTCCAAGGAGATGCATCACAGACATTTAGAAATTGACATCCTGAGTCAGGCTGCAACCAGGTCATGCGTTCAAAAGTGTCGCCCAGAGGTTGAGGGTGTTGCACACTCGCAGTCGGTTGCCGAACACAAAAACAGTCCTGTTTTTACTCTAGTGTGTCTGGGTCATTTCATGTGTTGTGCCGTTATTTGGTATTTATTTATGTTAAAATGTCATCTTCACTATTTCATAATAAATATGTTGTCAGAGGATAAAGTTTTGCAGCACGGTCAGTTCCATTAAGTGCAGAATTTGCCGTGTTAGATTGGTCACAACAGTGTCGAAATTACAGCACGCTGCTAGCAATTACTCGTTCTTTTACCTAGTAAAATTACACAGCAGTTACATAGTGTACTTCATGGAAACATACTAGTGGTAATATTCAAAGTGAGACAGCAATAAAGGACAAAGTTAGCAACTAGGAGGTTTACACATAACATTTATCTGCTAAAAAGTCAGATATTTCCCTTATGGGGAAAAAAGAGAGCTGAGTCAACTATGAACTTGGATTCAACCAATGACTCCATTTTTTTCTATATCCTTGTGTGGTTAAAGAGATGAAATGTTAAAGACAAAATTAAGGAACAGAATCTGCTTGTAAGACTCTATGTTGTCATGCTATTTAATGCTTTCTACTGTTTTATAGTCTACTATATTTAAACCGTTTAGTTCTGTCATTGATTGGAAATGCAATAAGTAGGTTTTGTCTCCATGAAGTCCTTGGAGGCCAGTGTGAGATGAAATTATATACACAGCGCATAAACATGTTGTGACTTAATGATGCAGAATAAAAAATAAAAATCATTCGTAAATGGCACACATGCGCTGGAGATGGCAGGTAGAAATGCTAAAAAAATGGCTTATTGTCACAGATGCTAAGTGAAAGCCATCGAGTGAGATTGGTGTAGTAAGAGGTGAGGGCTGAGTAGTGGAGTATTATTGAATCAAAGGCCTATTCTCGGTATGAAGATGAGGCGGGGATGAAGGTTGCTCCTCATCCATAACAGATGATTCATAGGCTGCCCTGACCTTTAATACCTGGACTTACCTCTTTTCCTTTCTCTGCTGCAGAACTCCACTGCATGGAGAGTTCAAGTATATGCTGTTAATAGCAAACAGCGCTGGCAAAGCTTGCGTCCCAGAGCACTCTGCAAATACAAGTGCGCATGTATGCACATGCGGGCATGTGCACGTGTGTTTGAAGTGTGGATGCTCATTTATAAAGCACATTTGCAGAAGCATCAAATGTCAAAAGTTCACTGCGGCACCCTGCTCACATCTAATGTGACAAATAACTTCTTCCTCCAGTTGCATTGTTCTAATCCCTTTAGTGGGCTCTGGAATGGAAATATAATTACATTTCTGTGGTGCAGTGCCTTTGATAAGACAGCCACTTGCTGAGCTGAATGTCTAACTGAGTTGGATGCCTCTCCCAAGCCCTCTCCTCTCTCCACTCTACTTCTCTCCCCTTACTCATCTCCCCTCTTCCTTTCTCTCCTTTAGGTTTTCTCGTTTTCCCTTTTCATTCTCTCACCCCCCGCTCGCTTCTCTCTGTCATCTCCAAAAGCTCATTCTGTCTCTCTCTCACCCGCCTAGGTATTGCTGTGGATAAAGGAGGAGTTGTCTACTTCGTTGATGGCACCACCATTCAGAAGATTAATGAGAGGGGTTTGCTCTCCACTGTGATTGGTTCAAACGGACTGATGTCGACGCAGCCGCTAAGCTGCGATTCACGCATGGACATCGGCCAGGTGAGTTAATAATGCGGCAGAGTTTCGATGACCAGCGGAAAGCAGATTTGCTGTGAATGCTGTTGTTTTAATAATCTGTAGAAAAATAAGCCTGCTTATTAAACAGCAGTATACACTGCAAAGCTTCTTCTACTGAGAACCTTTATCATTTCTTCAAGGTATGTGTGCTTGTGTGTGAAGGAGAGACCAAAGACTGCATAGGTTTGATCTGGCAGCCTTCAGATCACACTGCTAACTTATATCAGGCCTATTAGAGCAAAGGATGAATTATAGATGAGCTACTGGCTCTATAGAGGGATCTCTGCCCACACATAGGGATGTGAGCGCCTGTGTATGTGTGTGTGAATATCAATGTTCAAGCCAGGTGAATTCCCAGAGGGGATATTATGTGTCGTTAAAGGGGCCCGTGCTGCCTCCTGGCTCTTCTCGTTGTTTGTTACTCATTGTTCAGATCATGTCAAATTCATTCTTCGTTGAATTAAAAAACAAAACAAAAAAAACAATGTGTGACCTCAATGTGTCATCTTTGCTCATCATCTCTTGGCTGTTGTAGCACTTTGTCTACATTCAACTTAGCTTTCTCCTGAAAGTACAAGCTACCAAGCTAGGCTATCATTTCTGAACTTCTCAGTTTGATAGTTTAGCTCACTAAATCTGCAAGGATACAGATTATTAATACTGGAAATGATTGCTCTTCCTTGTCCTTTATGTTAATGCTATTCCAGCACTGCAGAGTCATCTGCCACTCACCTACACAGCTCAAAAAATTCATTACAGACAGCTAACATTAGCGAGGCACGCTAATGTTAGCTGTCTGTAATGAATGGGTTTTATTGTGTTGATTACAAAAAACGGAAAGGGGATGAGTACACAGAGCTACGTCACTGTGTGTTTTAAACCAAAAAGAACTGCTGAACTCCTTGATGGTGTCAAATAAGGCCTAACAATGTTATCTCTCCAGCTGGTTTCAGGTATAGTCAAGTACTCCAAAGTGCAGTTTTGACATCCTCAAGGGTGTCTCCCGCTTTAGCCCTGTGACACCTGCTTTCAGGCTCTGCCTCACACTGTCACGCTGCTCACAGTAATGTCAGGCCAAATAAGAGAAAGCCTCTCTTTTCTGGAAAAAAAAAAAGGCGTAAACAGGCTTTCTCTGCACACAGGACAACATCTGAATATGAGGCTTTTTTTGTATTTCAGCCACAAGCACAAAAGACATTTTTCAGTGCAGTTCTGTGTAGTTCAATAGTTTCAAAATAACATAATTCAATAAATAATTGAAAAAGAAGGGGAGGCGTTGAAAATGTTTATCTCAAATATTTTCAGAGAATCGGGAGAAATAGAAATGGGACAAAATCAAAAACTGAGTGGCCGTGATCTTTGGGTTTCCAGGCAGTACGCTAAAAAACACAAATGTGATTTGGGAGAAGAATTCACAGCTCAGGAACAGTTTTTGTTGCTGCCTCCGTGATTCAACATCCACTGATGTGATGTGACCAATCAGAATCTGAACTTCTAAAGAAGCGAGGGTTCCTCCAATGATTATCATTGTACAGACAAGTGCACATAACATAGGGGCAGCAGGTTTTGAAGCAATGTATGTTGTCATAGTAATGACATTACAACAACAGTGCATTAAAGAAATCCAGGTGCTAGACTAGAGTGCCTGCAGTGTCAAATCCAACACCCAAGTGGAAATATGTGGAGTATTCTAAGGCCACAGACTGTTCAGCATGTGAAATCCTATATTCAGCAAGAACAGGTTAACACTTTGCTTTCAAAACTGCAGCAACTGATCTCCAAACAAAGAGAGGTGATGCAACACAGTGGGAAGCATGTCCCTACTGCTGTATCTACTTCACTGATATGTTATAAACAATGTTACACTTTACAACATCTCCCAATGTTTTTAGCAACTAGATACTCTAAAATTAAATAAATACATTTTGGACCTTTTACCTTTTGTTGATAAGACTTTTTTTCCTGCAGTACTCGTCTCTCATCAGTACGTATGGTGAGCAGTGTATCATAGCAACACACTAAATCCATCTCCTACCATTGGTGCTTATAAGCAGAGATACTGCATTGCTCAAATCTCTGGTAATAATATTGGCTTTCTGTTTAAGAGATGTGGAAATGCAAGCTGAAGCTCTCTTAATATATACAAATGAAAAACACAAAGAACTTTAAAAATAAATTTGGATTTCAGCTCTGTGTGCAGGTCAGCTTCTCGAAGCAATCGCCTGCCGTCACAGCAAAGTTCAATATCGTGTGCAGCAGGGATTTGATGCATGGGACACCGTGAGTCCTGCTTGATGAATCTCTCTATCTTTAAAAATGGAATTTCAGAGTCAACCTTCTAGTCTCTCATTTGACAGGGCCTATAATTGGACATGTCAGTGGCAATTTAACATGATCCATTTATTTACCAATCCGTCCTCGGAGTCATCAATCACCTCATCCTTCAGACGCACCGCGTCGTCTCTGCAGCGGTCGCGGGCGCCTGAGAGTGAGATGGACAGTCATGTGGGTGGCTGTGCGCTGGTGTAGGTTTGCCTGCCTTTGACCCCCACAGTGTTAGCGGACAGGGTGTGCTATTTGAGCAGGCAGCGATCACGGTTATTGGATGACATTTGGAACAGTGCCGAAGCGAGCCAGTGTGAGTCTTGAATAAACACAGGGAAGGCTCCCTGCCCGCTACTGACCTTTGCATGAGCAGGGAGGGTCAGGAGGCCTAATACTATGTTATTAAGGAGATGTTATTTGTATCACCTGTAACTGACTCTTGTGGGCAGCTGCCACCAAGGACTTCTTTGCTCTTTTGTTCTCGCTTTTTTTTTTCCTTCACAGAAATATACAATAAGTGTTTGTCATTCCTCAGGTGCGGCTGGAGTGGCCAACAGACCTGGCCATTAACCCACTGGACAACTCCCTGTACATCCTCGACAACAACATCGTCCTGCAGGTAGAGAAATACGCACGAAACAAAGCAGAGGCTTGCAAGTGAGGGAAATATACGCCTGCTTCTCATTCATTCATCTGCTTTCTTATGAGACATTGGGACTATATGTAGCAGTGGAAGAGAGGGTAATAAAATATTTTTCACAAATTGCAGTGCTGTCACTTTAGGTGAATTTAGAGTGAGTGAGGCTGCTAACATAAAAGAAAGCAAAAAAAGCACCTTGTTAAAAAAATAACATGCTATCACAGGTCTCTGCAGGAGTTGTTTTTAAGAAAATGTCACTCAACTTTTTTCTCCGAAATTAATGAATTGCCTGTTTGAGCATGTTCAAAAGTAATGAGTCAGGAGATGAGGCAGGCGATGTTTGATACACCGGATCAAAACCAAAGCAATTCAACAGAGTGGCTGACTCTGTTGAATTGATGTAAGTGTCTGTATTGTGCCTCTCTCTTTTATAACAGATAATACGTTGTGGTGTATTTCCTTAGGTGTCAGAAAGTCTGCAGGTGCGGATTGTAGCAGGACGTCCCATCCACTGCCAGGTTCCAGGTATTGACCATCACTTGGTGAGCCGGGCAGCTGTGCGCGCCACCTTGGAGGCAGCTAAGGCCATCGCCCTGTCCCACCTGGGCACGCTGTACATTGCTGAGACTGATGAGAGGCGAATCAACCGCATCCAGCAGGTCACTAAAAAGACTTTTGAGGGCACCTGTTAATGATGCATTTATCGCAGTTCTCATGTTGCAAATTTATACTGAAGTTGCAAAAGACCATACTTATCCAGAGTGTTAATATACTGCTCAAAAAATGAAAGGAGTAGAGCATCAAGATGATTAAACTTCTGGGACATTGATCTGGTCAGTTAAGTAGCCGAGGGGGTTGTTAATCAGTTTCAGCTGCTTTAGTGTTGATGAAATTAACAACAGGTGCACTAGAGGAGCAACAAATCAGAAATACTTTTAGAGGTGGAGGCCACTGACATTTATTCCCTTCTCATCTTTTCTGGCTTTTTTTCACTACATTTGTATTTGGCTAGTGTCAGTGTCGCTGCTCATATTCCTCCAGGATGACACATCAATAGGTTTGCTGTGGCTCCCAGCATAGCATCAAGACCATAGAGGAGATTTCAGGAGAGCTGGTCAGGGCTGTAGAAGGTCCTCAACATGTCAGCAAGACCCGAATCTGCTCCTTTGTGAAAAGAGGAACAGGATGGAAAACGACCTCCAGAAGGCCACTGGTGTGAATGTCTCTGACCAAAACATCAGAAACAGACTTGGTCCTTTAGTGAGCCCTGTGCTCACAGTCCAGCACCTTGGACCCTGACTGGCATTTGCCATTGAGTACCAGGATTGGCTGGTCCACCACTGGTGGTCTGTGCTTTTCACAGATGAGAACAGCTTCACCCTGACAGACATGTAAGGGTCTCTACAGACCTCTACAGGCTAGGCATTGGCATCCTCACTGCCATTAGGTGTCAGAATGAAAATCCTAGGACCTACTATCAGACCCTGCACTGGTGCAGTGAGTCTTGGGATCCTCCTGGTGCACAACAATGGCCTCATGTGGCAAGAGTATTCAGGCAGTTCCTGGAGGCTGAAGGAATTGATACCATTGAATGACCCCCTTGCTCGCCTGACCTAAATCGAGTAGAGCACCTCTGGGATATTATGTTTTAGTCCATCTGACACTGCACCTCAGACTGTCGAGGAGCTCGGTGATGCCCTGGCCCAGATATGAGACGAGATCCCCCAGGACACCATCCATCGTTTCATTAGGTGCCCTGATGTTGTCAGGCATGCATACAAGCACGTGGGGTCATACAAGCTACAAACTAGAACCATTTGAAATGTAAGCAAAATGGACTAGCCTGCAGCATCATTTTTTCACTTTGATTTTCACGTCTTTGAATTCAACCCCTCTGTAGGTTGAGCATTTTCATTTCCATCAAAGGATGTGACATCTTTTCATTCCTAACACATTAACCAGTCCATATCCAGGCTTTTTCCCCATTGATATCTCATGTTTTTGAGCAGTGTATATTCCTCCATATTACCCTGACATTGCAATGCACGCCTCTTGTCTCTTCGCATGAACGTTTTCCACGTCTCTGATGAAAATAACAACAGGAAAAAAGAAACAGCTCAGCTAGAGCTGACACTGGCAATCCATCTGGCCTTATGACACTAATTTACCTTCACACTTGTTGCATCATGAGTCCCACTGTGAACAGGTTGTTTGCCTAACAGATGCTACACAGCAAGGTAGTGCGTCGCGTCTGTGTCTAGGACGTAGATGCTCAAAATCAAAGGCATTCAAAAAATAATCAAGAAGTACGGTTTCAGTTTTAGAGAAAAAAGAAGTATATATAGTATATTACTTTTTTTCTGTCCATTTGCTCCATTAGGTAGCAGCATGTTGTCACAGCACTGCAGCATTTTGGAACCAACAGCACAAAGGTAGTGCCTGCTGGACTCAATCAATAGCACCTTTGTGGTGTGCAGCAACACGCTGGGTCCATGTGGAGGCAGACAGGAACATATAATACCTCAAATGCCTTTTTATTGGGTACCGACCAGCCATGTTGCAATGGGCAATGAAAAGACCTTTTTTTTTTTTAACTGCGTTTGTCACACCTATTTTATGTTTGGCATTTTTAGGCTCCTATTTATCAAGCGTCTCAGTTGGACTCAGACAGGAATGGATCCATCCATGTTTGTTAAGGTTTCCAAACTTATTCAGCAACAGGTGCCAGACTGACAGTGAATGACACCGCTTTGTAACAACGAGCCGTAAAGTAAAATTAATGATGATTTGTTTAGATGTGTGTGATGACGAGTTGGGATTATCTCAGCAGTTTGTGATGTGCAATCAATCAGTGCATTAAGAAACAAAGAACAGCCAGGCAAATACAATGTGATGCAGGAGAAATGAAATACAGAACACTTCAGGTAAGTTCGCTGCACACAGATACACCTGACATGATGTTTTAAGCTGATTTTAAAAATGATGCGTGAATTAAGTGCTCGGTTTCACTTTCAATGGTTCGCACCAGCTTGTACTGTTTAGCCAGCAAGTCTTTTTTTAGTGTAATAAGCTCTATTAAATGTGAACGTGCCTTGGCCTTCATACTAAGTATTTAGGCGATGACTTGGCACCGCCTGCGGTCTGCGCTCATGGTCCAGGCACGTCTTCCCATCACATAGACTCAGAACATTTGGCCAGGACATCAAGGACCACACATGCATAACCAATATGTGCTTTTTAAAATTTTTATTTTGCATAAGTTGCTGTGTTATTCGTTATATCACACTGGAGCATTACAATCAAACTCATTACATGCCACATTTGCTCCGTTGTGCCCGTCTTTATCTGCTTTAAATTAAGGGCAATTTGCAACAACTTTTTATTTTCTGTTTATTTTGGACATGTTTAAAGATGAAGCATTTGTTGTACTGTGAAGAGGAAACAAGCTGTTTTTTCCCTGTGTGAGTAGAACAGTTTGCATGGCGAAACGAATTACACCTTACATATCAGAACATAATAAGCACGACATAAAACATAATCTTGTTCTGAGAAGGCTGAGATGAAGAACAGCACATGATCTGTTTCACCATGTCACTGTTTGTTTACCGAAAGTCAAAATGCAGAAGCATTGTCTGAAAAACCTAAACACACCCCGTGATTCAGTACCCTGTAAAACCGCCTGTGGCAGTAATAAATGGAATTAACTGTTTTCTCGACGACCTTATCAGTCTCTCGCTTCGTTGTGGAGGAATTTTGGCTCTCGCGTCTTTACAGCGTCGCTTCAGTTCATTGAGGTTTGTGGTTCGTTTCTGCACAGCTCTCTTCAGAGCCTGCCACAGCATTTCAGTCAGTTTGAGGTGTAGACTTTGACTGGGCCAAGGCAACGCTTTGGTTCTTTTCTTTGTCAGTGTTTCTGTTGTGCTTTTGATCATCGTTCTGATGCTTTACCCAATTACTGCCAGGCTTTAGGTGTCAGACAGATGGCTTCTAGAATACGTTGGCACTCTACTTTGGGCTCAACGATTGCAAGGTGCAAGACAAGCTCAAATCATCACCCCTCCACCACCGTGCTTGATGGTTGATATGAGGTGTTTGTGCTTATATGTTGAGTTTGGTTTTTGCTAAATTTGCGCTGTGCATCGTGGAAAAACAGCTCCAATTTGTTCTTTATTGTCCAAAGGACATTGTTTTGTCTTGCGGTTTGTTCAGATGCAGCTTTTCAAATATGAATCATGCTGCCATCTTATTTTTAGAGAGAAGAGGGTCTCCCCTGACATCCTTCCATACTTTTTCAGTCTATTTCTAATTGTGCTGTCATGAACTTTAACATTTAGCTTGCTGATTTAGGTCTGTGGACTCTAAGATGTAGATTTTGAGTGTTTTTATAGTTTCTCTGAGCAATGCATAGACTGACCTTAGGGCGAATTTGCTGGGACTTCCACTCTTGTGAAGATTAGCAGCTGTCTTGAATGTTTTCCCTTTGTGACTCTTTCTATCTGATTGATGGGAAACAACGGGTTGTTCTTCCTCCAGACCAGCAAACTGCCAAAGCTTCTGCTTTCATAGAGGTGCTCACACTTGCTGATGATAAATGAACAAAGTGAATTTGATTAGCAGCACATGGCTGCTACTTACCCTCTAATTCTTATTGAAGCTGTACGTAAACATGTACTGTTTCCTCACTCACTGCTTCTAAATTTGGCTTAAATTAACACTGACATAATATATTGTGTTGTTATTGTGGTTGTATCTACCTGCTTTTATTATGTCCTGATCCGTAAAACCTTAGATTCGAGTATTTTATAGGTCAAGGTGATGAAATTCTGCTTCTAAACCTAAAATTAGGAGTAAGGTTTTCTCTACTCTCAGATGATGGATGAATGGAGATTTTGGAAAGTAGTTTTGTGGGAATTGTGCTTATTTACTTGTTTTTTTTCCCAGACACTGGAAACATGGGGTTTTCTGGGTTTGGCAATGCAAACAAACGAGCTGCAGTAGGGAACGGCTTTATAATAAACACCTCAGATAAACTTTCCCCGTGGAATCATAAAGTTGATAAAAGCAAGTCTTCATCAAACATATCATCTTTGACAATTATCTTCCAACAATGCACGGTCCTCTCGGGCTAGTTAAGCAGCATCGGCCTCCCAAGATTAATCAAAATCAAGCTGTTGTTGCAACAGTTTTCACCTCCATTTGCAGCTCGCCTCCCCATCAGGACAATCAGCTTAATTTGTTTGGAGAGCGAGACTTAATGTTCCAAAGATCTGTCAATCAGTCAGCAAGGGAATAGTGTCATACATCGAAGATGCATAATGCCTTTGTTTGTCTAAACTTCACGGAGAGGCACCAAAGATATCATCGGTGATGTTTTTGGCTAAAGGAACAGCGGATACACGCAAAGTGATATTGTAACTCAGCGCAGGTTTTTATATGAAATGCCATCATTATCTTATTTGCCAGAGAGACGAGACATTACAAAGGCTGTTGTGGAACATTACCTTCTGTTTAACAGTGGCCTCCTGCAGCACGTTGTGACATGTCGCTTTTTGAAAACTCCACAGGTGTCAACCAACGGCGAGATATCGATTATCTCCGGAGCCCCCACGGACTGCGATTGCAAGATAGACCCCAACTGCGACTGCTTCTCTGGTGGGTCACCAGGCACACATACGCACACTTGTTATGTGAGGAGTGCAGGATTAAGTAATGTGAACGTATTAGATTATGCTTAATAGGATTAGAGCGCTACAACACATGCAAAAGCATTTGAGAATTAATTCTGGTGGCATCATATTCGGCCTGCTTCAGAAGTAGTTTTAAAGGAAACAAAAACTGGAGCATTGTGAAGCTCGGAGGATTTGATTTAGTCTGTATATCTTGATATTGAGTGGGTAAATCTGGCTGCCCCGTGCGTCCCTGCTGGACAATAATTTGATTAGCACTTTCCCTCCCCGACTTATTAAAGTCAGCTGGAATCTTAGTGTCTAGGAAGAGCCGCTTTGACTCTCCTTGAAAAACAATAAAAAATATGACAATGACTTTTATATAACTGATGACAATACCCAGGAAAGAAAAGACCGCCTATAACATCAGGCTGGAGAATTAAGAGAACGACTTGACTGTGAGCGTTTGTGTGTTGGCTAAACAGAAAGTGGATGCTTGTGTGTGTGTGGGTCGATGTATTTATATTTGTATTCATAGGAAGGCTTCTTCTTTGTGGAGACCTCCAGCTAAATTCAGTAGCAACCAGCTCAGGAGAAACCTTTCAAATCCATTCAAATTACAGCTGGTGAAAGAAAATGCTCACTTCCACACGCCGAATGTTTTAACTGGTTGCTGTATCATGGTTGGGCACCTGAAATGCAATAAAAGGAAGAGGAAAAGGACCCAACAAATAAGCAGATGTTCTTTTGACAGTTAGGCCGTGCTTTCATTGTAAGTGTCAGCGGATGTGATTTTATCATTTAATTCTGCTCATAAAAATCAGTCTCTTTTCTATTCAAAATGGAGGGAAGTGTCTCTCCCATGCCACAAGCCAATGGGCTGTAACCATCCCTATTCCTTGAGTTGTACTTTGCATATTTTCAATCATGTCTCGCTGTTAACAGATGATTACTCTCTTCAGAGGCTTTCCGTTTCCATCCCTTCGCCGTAAACACTCACACAGTGTCTTTGAACGCGGACATGTATGCGAGCGCACACCCGCCGATACTAACGGATGCGAGCCCGTGCGCGGCCGCCCACAAAAGCATACACACATAATGCGCATGCTGTCGCGAGATAAACTGCCACCCTGCTGTCTGCACAGACCCATCAGAGGCCCCAGGCCTACTGCTGACAGCATCTAAAGGGCTTCACCCAGCTGTTGTCCTGCTGTGCAACCAAAGACATCTGGATGCATTCAGTCGCCTACTACCACCGTCTGATAAGACCGAGGTCACTATCAAGGTGGTCATATCCACTCCACTGGGAAGTTACCATATCCCAATAGGTCCACGTCCTGAGCCAAACTGATAACCGTTTAAGCGGCACCATGGGATCCTCGTATTTTGCCAACCTGCGTGTGGACTGGTTGTGACTTCTCGCTTTCGCTGGAGAACGAATTGTATTTCTCAGTGTGGTTAGAACTGATGCTGCTTTGAATTATGCTATTTTGTTGATAAAGAGCTTTTCCTGTCCTTACCGAAATGACGAGTTCCCGTTTTTCCTATCAGGAGACGGAGGCTACGCCCGTGATGCTCGTCTCAAAGCCCCGTCCTCTCTGGCAGTGGCTCCCAATGGCACCCTGTATATTGCTGATCTGGGCAATATCCGGATCAGAGCTGTAAGCCCCAACCAGCCCCAGCCCAGCCCAGCCGGACTGGTGGAAATCAGCTCACCTCTGGACCAGGAGCTCTATCTCTTTAGCCAGGTTCTTATCACAATGCCTAATGTGTGTATTTGCATGTAAAATATTTGGATACCAGCGAATTGTCTTTTTAATTCATAATTTATTAGCAAATTTAACAGACTGACTAACTCAAGTGTTTACTTGGATTTGCACATTGCTAAATTAAAACGGATTAAGCCACGCAAGCTCATTTGTACACACAAATTAGTCTGAGATAATTAGTTATTAATTATTGACACACAGTAACTGCTAGTTGGGCCTGTTAGGAAGGTAGATAACTGAACCAGCTAACAAAGCTAGCATTAGCTTTCTAATATGACCCATTTAGAGAAAAATAAAGAATAAATGCGGTAAACTGGCTAAACTTTAATAACTTGGGATGATTTTGGATTGCATTTCACAAAAATAATATTCCTCACTTCCAAGTCTCGTTCTAATAGCTTTGAATGATTGAATGATCAAATAATGTCAGCTAGGTTAGCCTAATCCAATCAGGGTGTTTACTGGCTCAGAGTGGGCTTTTGTGGGTGACTAAGCACGACAGTAAGCATGATAGATGCACACAAGATAGTGAGCCTATTGCCTTATGTTGCAGAAATCTGGCCTTTCCTGTTATTTCTGATCATTTAATAAACAAAATGGTTCATTCTGCCTGAGAAAATGAAACTCTTATTTCAAAAAATTATTTTAAAATTTCATACAGACAACAGTTACATATTACATATTCTAAGCTCTAAAATGAACATGTTTCTTCATCTTTAAATATATAATTTAAAGAAATAAACCCCATAATTTACAGTAGTTATGGTTAATGTGTGTGTACCTACTTCATTGTTTTTGGAATCATTTTGTTTTATTGATGCAACAAAATTAGCAAATCACTAGTCTGAGAGTACAGAGTACCTAATAGTTTCTAAATTTACAGGTTTTGTCATTTGCAGAAGCTGAATCCTCAACAGTGTCTCTCTCTCCCTCTGATAGAATGGTTCCCACCTGTACACCAAACACCTGATCACAGGTCACTACCTGTACAACTTCTCTTACGGCACAGACGGCCAGTTGTCGGGTGTGATGAGCCGCGACGGCCGCAGCCTCCAGGTGAGGAGGGATGCTCACGGAGTGCCTCTCTGGCTGGCTCTACCTGGCGGACAGGTGTACTGGCTGTCCCTTAGCAACAGTGGCACGCTGAGGAAGGTGTCCGCCCAAGGCCACGACATCGCCCACATCACTTACCATGGCAACACAGGTCTCCTAGCAACCAAAAGTGATGAGAACAGTTGGACCACTGTGTATGAGTGAGTTTGTGGTTTATTTATAAAGCTTATCTGCTTATTGCGATCTTCTTTCTGTCTGTCCCCGCTCTTTCTCTCTTCTCCTTCCTTCCTGTCCTCGCTTTGTTGCTTGACTCTGAATGTTTGAGCTAACACTGCATTGCATGAATGTGTATTCATATGACAAGGTTTACGTTAGGGGTATGAAATATGAGTGCCATCTGGTGGTCACTTCTGCATCAACAAAGCTGGAGAAGGCCTGGGGTGGGATTGGGCGGTGTGACTGTTTTTTCTTTCTTCTTTTTAGTCTTTGCTTAAAGTGACTGATTAGCTGAAGGACGTCTGCTGCAACTCTTTGAACACATGCGTGTTTAGTATTGCACATATAGTACAGGCAGAAAAACACATCTGTCTGAATTATTCACCACTGCCTAGTCGGTCTCTGTCTCAGATTCCACAGCTGGATAATTACACATATAAATCATAGTTGACACTCACTGCGAGCTCATGCTAGCGCACGGGAGCATGCATATGTGTGCCTGCGTGCTTTTTGCGTGCTTGGTTGTGGTCATTTGCCTGCGAGCGATGGATTTCTGCGCGTGTTTGCGCGTGTTTGCGCGTGTTTGTGCGTGTGTGTGCGCGCGTCTGTGTGTATTTGTTTGCTTATTGCCTTTGTGTTTATTCTCCAAGGTACAACAGCGAGGGTCGAGTGACCAACATCACCTTACCGACGGCGGAGGTGAGCGGTTTCCATGGCAACCTGGAGCGCTGGTCTCGGGTGGAGGTTGAAGCGTCCAACCGTGAGAACTTTGTCACCAGCACAAACTTGTCTGCCAGCGACACCATTTACATGTTCAGACAAGGTGCAGCATCACAATGAGTTCTGCGCTTTTGCCTTTTAAATTTCTCACAGCTCATTATTCAGACTGTTTATGCATCGCAGCCACAGGTGTATTGGTTTTATGTATTTACTGGTTACAGAGAAAAGATTACAGCTTCCGAACCGTGCATCTACCCTCAGCTTCTATAACCAGCAACTAGCCACAAGGCTATTTATGAGTCATGTGAAGAGGCACTAAACCATACACCACATACTATGTAGAGGGCAGGGCGTAAGGTTACAGCGATGTTTAAACATTTATGCCGGCAAACGTGGCTGTTATTCTGGTTTAAGTCAGAAACTCTGACCTGCGTTTCTCTCATTCTTCATCGCTGGAGATTCACAGCTTTAAGTAAGCATTTATCCGCTTTTATAAATAGTTTCACATACAGATCTGATGCGACCTCTTTACATAACCGGACGAATGGGCAGCGGGGGGGAGAAAGAAATGCTGTTTATTTACACAAAACATGCTACATTTGACTGACTCGTGAAATGCCTTAACAACTGCTGGGGCAAAGCAGAAAAAAAATGGAAAAGAGGGCAGAGATGAGAAGAGGAGAAAATGAGAGTGGAGTGAAGAAGCCACTCATGGGAGCAGTTTCTTCTCATGTCATCCCTTTAATTGCTTTCTTGCAGTTGTCACACTGACAGGACTGCAGGGAGGGAAAATCTGCGCCAACTCGCACGCGCTCAGTCACACACGCGCGCACAAACACATGCATGTACGCCACGCTACAGTGTGACAGAGCTGCCAGGGAAAAAAGTTGAAATGACCCACTATTTTTCGAGCACCACCTCTTTCTCCGCCGCCCACAATTTCACCGTGTCCTCGCCTGCCTCTGAGGCAACAATAACCATATGTACAGAATAGGTTTTTTTACGGCGGCGGAGGGAATAGAAGTTACTATCCGGTTTATTAGCCGCGTTAAGTTTTATGGTTAAAATATAGTTTTATGGTTATTTTCACCCCTCTTTTTCTAAATTTTTGTATTAATTGTGTTTTAAACATGAGACAAAGCCATCTTGGCATGTGTGAAAGTGTGTGGAAGCCTGACTCTGAGCAGGGCAGAAATGAAAGAGCAGTTTCTGAGAATGCTTTGCAATGTGTGAAAAGCTGCTATACCCCACCTTCCTCTCCTTCTTTCTCTCTCTGTCCTCTCTTTCTCCTTTCATTGCCCCCCCTCTCTCTCTCACTCTCTCATTATCTGTCTCCTGCGTTCCTCCTTTCTAAAGATGTAATAGCTGATGCAGTACAATGCTAATGTTGCAGAGAGCTTTAAAAAAAACACTCAGCACAGTGATTTAAGCAATTAATTCAAATAAAACGCACACACAAAGAGCCAGACATCGCATTCATGCAGCCCGCTTCTCACAGATTTCCTCTCAAGGCTGATTTTTTTTCTTCTTTTTGACACACAATGACTGATGTTTTCTTCACACTTCTTTTTTCTCATCTGTTGTTGCATATTTGCATCTCTGTGCACTTGTGGTTTTTTTGTGTGTGTGTCTGACCCACCCACGACAAACGGTCGACCCTCGACACCCACCCTCCCCCCCTTCCACATCCCCACAATTCACACTTACGCTTGCACTTTCCCACTCCAGATCACTCTCAGAGCTCGTACAGAGTCAGCGCCGACGGGTCATTTCTGGTCACGCTGGCCAGCGGGATGGAGCTGTCGCTAAGCACCGAGCCCCTCCTCCCGGGGGGCGTCGGGGGTGGAGTCAGTCCCACGGCCAGCCGCTGCAACATCAGCTTGCCTGGAGACCACGCCCCGAGCCTGATAGAGTGGAGGCAGAGGAAAGAGCAGAGCAAGACTAACTACAGCACTTACGAACGCAGGCTCAGGGTAAAACACTAAATCATCAGCCTGTTATTACGCCAACTGTGATAATATATAAAACACAATCCTGCGGCATCAGTGCTGCACAAAGGCATTGGGAATTAACAAGAGGATGCACGCAACTAGCCGAATATCCCAGAATCCCATATGAATGGATCAAATAAGCAGCCCGGCAACATTTTAGGAGTACGCAGGGTTAAGCTGTGCAATTTGACATTAACCAGGGGGACAAAAAGTGCCACTTTTAAGTGCTAAGAGTTGTGCAATCCGGTAGATTTTGAGCGATTGATGATGTCAGCGGAGGTGATAATAGGTCAAATGACTCGTAACCTGTTAGCTGTACTTTCCACACGCACAGGCTGCAACACCTCTGCAGTGGTGATGAAAGCACAAACAGGAGATTTCCTGAGAAAAGGGCATTTATGTTACGTGCAGCAATTAATTAGCATTCCCCGGGAAACAGTTCTCTCACTTGTTCGCCAGGCAGCTTATTGTTTATAAATGCAGACCAGGGTTTGCTGGAAATGTCACAATTAATTCATCTGGACTAATGAAATCTTTGCTGCTCTCAGACATGCCAATTCATTCATATATTTGCATGTCTGCGGCTTCAATCACCATTTATGATGATTTTAATGCTGTTAAAAAAAAGCTTCTGTTTGTGTTCTTGTCACTAGCTGACATTTTACTGCTTTGCTTTCCAGGCACATAACAGGAACCTGCTGTCCATAGACTTTGATCAAAGCACCAGAGTTGGGAAGATATACGATGACCACAGGAAGTTCACCCTCCACATTCAGTATGACCAGTTGGGCCGGCCTGTCGTGTGGTCACCCAGCAGCAAATACACTGAAGTAAACATCAGTTATTCAGCTGGAGGACTGCTTTCAGCCATCCACCGCGGAGAATGGTCCGAGCAGCTGGAGTACGAGAGCGACAGGGTGACGTCCAGAGCCTGGGTCAACGGCAAGATCTGGAGCTACACGTACGCAGACAGAGTGAGTAGAAAGTTTGAAGCGAACGTGACAGACAGCTTGTGATGAGGTCCTGCTGAGATTTGTTTTCAGGGCTCCTGTCGCCGTTTTCTTCTTGCCTTTGCTGCTTGCAGAAATCTAACACATCTTCTCCACTTACGTTTCCTTCTTGATGCAGCTCTCCGAAACCGGCGCTGAGATTAAAGGCAAACCAAAAAAAAGCGTCTCAGTTGTGGGAAACGAAAGTAAAGAAGTGAAAGCATATTAAAATCAGTAACAGGTGCTATATTACCAAGCATCTTTTAATGTGTTTCCCTCAGTTTGAGGGGCTTTCCATTTAGGCTATGAACATCAGTTTGCAGAGCGAATATTAGATCTGCCATAAGTTTAATGGTTGGGCAGACCTTTTAAACTTGGCCTTGTATCTTCACGACTGCAACAGCGCGCACAGTTGAGAGATGTAAAGGCAGACGGTGTGTTCTTTCTGATCGATTGCATAACTCCAGCATGTTTCAAGGTTCGGCAAATAGATTTTCTCAAAAGAAAACAGCAGTAAAGTCTTTGCAGTAAACACTCGTCGTCTTCTGGCAGATGTTTAGAAGTTATATTCGCTATAAGGAATTTTTCTAGTCAAAGAAACTCAAACAGTGTGTGTGACTAAGCTGAGAGCTACCAGAAGGTATAATTTCCGCTCTTGAAATTAATTGAAATATTTAATGACATGATATTCAGTCTGAAATATATTTAGTGTCAAGGATTTTGGTCTAAGACAAAATTAGAGGGAAAATGAGCTTATATTACAGAACCATCTAGAAATTAATACCACCTTCATGTATTATTAACACATTAATATCATACCTTACAGTTGAATAAAGACATTAAAGAGAACATTGTTTTAGTGCAGCTGAAACTGTGTGAATAGCTACGCAGATTTTTAAGAGGGGGGAGCAGCGGTAAACAAAAACGCTGCTGTCTGAAAACCAATTATGGTTTTTCTTTTTTCTCGTTTTGTTTTTTCGACACGTACGTCTGATAATTAAATAGCTTTCAGTGAATAACTGAAGCGGTCTCAAACTAAAACCAAGGTTGCTTTTGAAGAGCCGATTTTTTTTATTTATTGAGGAGAAAGTTTTAACCCAGTGACATTGGAATTTAAAAAGAGAGAGTGCAAAAGACAGAAAACGAGAAAGCCGTGAAACCACAGAGATGCAGTGTGTTGGAACTGTCTGTGAATATCTCTGTGTGTTCTTACAGTCCATCATGCTGCTCCTGCACAGCCAGCGGCGCTACGTCTTTGAATACGACCAAACGGATCGTCTGGTCGCGGTGACCATGCCCAGCATGGTGAAGCACACCCTGCAGTCGCTGCTGTCCATCGGCTACTACAGGAACATATACGCCCCGCCCGACAGCCAAGCCTCCTTCATCCAGGACTACACCCTGGACGGGCGCCTGATGAGGACTCAGTACTTGGGAACTGGGCGCAGAGTCATCTACAGGTGTGGCACATCGCTGTTTTAGCTCCGTACAAAGACATAACACTGATCGTCTTGATGAAGGTGATATAATTAAAGCGCAATCTTAAAATTTAAAAGCCCAATTACGCCAACTCTAGCGGACACTTGAATGCACGGCACACATCCATCCATCCTTGCGAAATCACACCGATTGGACCGATTAAAGGTCACACCTTTTTTTATTGTCGCACTTTGTCAGACAAACTGATCTGATTTTGATGAAAGTCGGAGGACTGATTCAGGCAGCGTTCTGGCATTTAACATTTTTAATACTCGTTGCCTGGATGAGGATACTGTAATAAATGGTCCCATTTTCAAGATTTGAAAGGCTGTAAGTGCCGCAGCAGCTGGTCTGCTTCTGATGAAATGTTGAAGGATGGTGCAACTTAGCGACCCAAAGGGATCCGTGTATTATTAATGTGGCATAGCATGTTTACTTACATTGAAGATTAAATGCAGTGTGCTTTAAAAAGAAGGTACTTTTATTTTAACATAACTTACTTATCGATCATCTATTCAAAAATGTGTTTCTTTCCCCCGTCAGGTATACAGCTGCGGCTCGCCTCTCGGAGGTGGTTTATGACTCCACCCTGGTGACCTTCACCTATGACGAGGCCTCTGGAACAGTCAAGACCATTCATCTCACCCACAATGGCTTCATAAGCTCCATACGATACAGGCAGACAGGTACGTACATGTGCTCAAAACAGCCAACAGAAGCACATTTTAGATATTCACAACGTGCAAAAGGATCATAAATCAATCCTGTGAGCAAAATTTTAAAGTCTATATAAGTGGCACGGCGTGCCAGATTTGAGGAGTGATGTCAAATTCAGTAGTCTGGCTTTGAGTCAGACGTCGTGCTATTTCATCTGTGACTGATGCAGCCACAGTTAGAAGTTTCAGTAGGGCAAGGCATGTTCAAGTGGAATAGACTGTGGTCTACCACAGCTGTAAATTCAAGACCACCCCCCGGGCTCTTACCCACGTCGTCTCTTCCCCACCTCCGCAAAAAGGCTTCCTGATCAAAGCAAACAAATGAATGTTTGAATGCAAAATTATATGCGGTGAGCTAGGTGTGGACATACTGCATTTGTTGTTGCATGCCTGAACACTAAAAGTAGCACTTTGCTGGGTTCATATTCGCTCTCATAGAGGAGGCAGGAAATCAAAAAACCATAGCTGAACTTAATACAACTAAACAATACTTTCAGTGCTGAAGGAGAAAATGAGTGAGACAAGACGTTTTCTAAAAGGCGGCGCTATCGACGATGGCACGCCATCGCTGCAGCTGCAGATATAGCATGTTAGGATACAGCCATTGTTAATACAGTTGAGCAGTCCCCTTAAGTTCCATAGTCGGTCCAGGGTCATGGAAAGTGCTCTCATCTCTGCTGCCGGTTCACTTCCCATAGCTTTGTGATTGGCTCGCCACCATCAGTTGTCACTAATCTGCGCGGCGCAGCTGTGTGTGTGTGTGTTTATCGCTTTGCCCTCACTGTGAATAGACTCTCACCTTCCTTTAACTGATCTCATTTCAGCAGAACAAACGGAGCCTTGGAGAGAGGAGAGATAGTGGTAATTGTCCCTTGAGAGGAGACAAGGAAAAGTGTGGCACCGGAAAAAGAAAGATGGGGATATAGAGTGGTGGGCGAGGGAAGGGAAAAGGAACAGAAAGGGAGAAGGGGGAACGATGACAGCTGGGGGGAAATGACAGCTAGAAGAGCGAGATGAACAGACTGCAAGTTCCCCAGGGCTGCAGAAAAGCCTCCACCTCGCTCTCAGTACTTCTGCCATTTTCCCATTAGCGAAGGTTTAGAATCAACATTCCACAGAAAATAAAAATAGAAAGATGTAACACTGATCCAGCTCTCTACAGTCTCCAAAGCTAGGCACTTAGTCATTTTAACTGCAATCAGAGTCATCTCAAATAGCAGCGTAATGGTGTTTCATTAGCAGGCCCTTTTTTTCCAAACAGAGGCCTGGCTGCAGAAGCTCGGAGCAGATGTGATGAATGGTGTTGTTAAAGTTGATGCTCTGACATTAAGCAGCACATTGGCCCATCATGGCTATTGTCTTTAGATTTCATTATCTCTCCATATTAAAGGTCACCACAGGAAATACCATAGAGGTGTGGGGATAGTTAAGATGGAATGGATTGCGCAGTGTGTGTCTCTGTTAATGACGGCGAATTAGGCCTTGATTTGAATTAATTAGGCAGGGTTATGCGGGCGGTGTGACATCCACTTGTAAGGGCTATATGTGTGCTGTGTGTACACTTCATGTCCCTGTATATTTCTGTAAACGCTGTTAAGGGGGTTCTAATGTAAATCTGCTCCGGTTCCTCTGCGTAGGTCCCCTGACAAGTCGGCAGATTTTCCGCTTCAGCGAAGAAGGCTTGGTCAACGCCAGATTTGACTACAGCTACAACAACTTTCGAGTCACTAGCATGCAGGCCGTCATCAATGAGACCCCTCTGCCCATTGACCTGTACCGCTATGTTGATGTGTCGGGGCGGGTCGAGCAGTTTGGCAAGTTCAGCGTCATCTTCTACGACCTCAACCAGGTAGGAAGTCACACCAGTTATCTTACTCGGTAGTGGAAATGTGGACGTTTTAAAGCTGCACCAATCAGCTGTTTCTGCTTTTAAAAAATAATCACATGACTGTGGAATATAAAATCTGACTCTGCAGCTCAGCTCAGTGGCGCGTTTCAGCGTCTTTCAGCTCATTGTTTTGGCCTGCGTTTTAGTCGACTTCGTTTCCGGTCAGTCAGCTGGTTTTACTTGTCTATCAAATCTAGACTTGACAACACTGGCAGGCAACTAGTAACTAGTAACTAAACAGTCAGATATTTCACATGGGTGTCTGTGAACATCCAAACAGACCCAAAAGAGAGTGAAATAATCAAACTTGTGCAATTTGTTACAATTTTGTTTCCAGAGCGTGCTGCATGTGTAAACAAGCAACCTATTAGCCCATGAGTTGGGTGTGACACTTTCATGGACTCTTATGGAGTCAATATGTGTTTAGGTGATCACCACCCATCTGATGAAGCACACCAAGGTATTCAACTCCTACGGCCAGGTGGTGGAGGTTCAATATGAAATCCTCAAGTCCATCGCCTACTGGATGACCATTCAGTACGACTCGTCCGGACGTACAACCACCTGCGACATCAGAGTGGGCGTGGACAGCAATGTGACCCGTTACACTTACGAGTATGATGCAGACAGCCAGCTGCAAAGCGCCTCAGTCAACGAGCGGCCTCAGTGGCGTTATAGTTACGACCTCAATGGGAACATTAATCTACTTAGCCACGGAACCAGTGCAAGGTATGTTAGCACACAAACCCATATACTGTACAGAAAGCATTGAATATAAAAGAAATTGCCTGTTTGTTATTAATAAATCGATAATTCAGATCAGCTCAGAAATCTTTATTATCCATTGCAAAGCAGTGGATAAATATCTTAAGCATGGCTCTCAGAGGAAACCAATAAAATAGCAAAATAAGACATTGTTTATTTATAAACACACACGTGTAAATAATTGTCATATAGCAGTATTGACAGTATTGGCTCTGGCTGCAGGGACATTCTAGCAGTGGTCTGATAGGAGGAGTTGGAATGAGTGGGTGTGAGAGGCATGCATGATAGTGCTGACTTTACATTTAACTGCCTCGGTGTGGAGATCTATCACAGTCGACAGTGACGGTGATGTTGTTTAACCGTTTAATGACTCATAACAGTTTTGATTTGTTTTACACTGAAGGAAAGGTGTTCGAGGATGTGATGTCTGTAGGTGAGAACCGAGTCAATGAGAGTCTTACAGGCAATTTTTTGTTTACATTAAACGATAGTTATGGAACTGGAAACTGTTTTTCAACCCATCAACTGTAACCTTTGTTATGTCACCTTTGTTACGCTGTCTAATCGGGGATATCTGTTGTCATTAACACCTTCTTTGTTATGCACGGAGATCTTGCTGGTGCTTCCCCGCTGCCTCCAGTTTTTCACATTTGCTCATGAGTTTGCAGAAAGGCCACAGAACAGAACCTGAACGACAGATGAGACTGAGCGCAGACAGACCGGGTGAACTATTAAACGGCTGAGACAAACTTTTGCACAGATTTGGCACCAGAATCCCGGTTACATTGTGGTTACATTTGTTGCATACTAACATGATTTTTTGAGCAGTTGTCAACAAAACTGATGCACAGTTGTAGTTGTGTACAGCATGCGGTAAATATCACTCAGGGTCTGATGTTTGTTTTCAGGCTCACGCCGCTGCGCTACGACCAGAGGGACCGCATCACGCATCTCGGCGAGCTGCAGTACAGCGTGGACGACGACGGCTTCCTCCGCCAGCGAGCAAACGACCTGTTCGACTACAATTCCAACGGCCTGCTGACCCGCGTCTTCAACCGCGTGACCGAGCGCACCGTGTGGTACCGCTACGACGGACTGGGCCGCCGCGTGGCCACCAAGAGCAGCCAGGGCGAGCAGCTGCAGTTCTTTTATGCCGATCTGTCACACCCTACCAGGGTCAGCCACTTGTACAACCACAGCAGCAATCTGATCACGTCACTGTACTATGACCTCCAGGGTCACCTTATCGCCATGGAGCTGAGCAGCGGAGAGGAGTACTATGTAGCCTGCGACAGCGTGGGGAGCCCGAGGGCAGTTTTCTCTAGCAAGGGGCGGCTCGTCAAAGAGATTCTCTACACCCCCTACGGAGAGGTTTACCAGGACACCAACCCAGACTTCCAGCTTGTCATCGGCTTCCACGGAGGCTTGTACGATCCTTTCACGAGACTCGTCCACCTGGGAAGGCGGGACTATGACACGCTAGCGGGCCGATGGACTTCACCGAATCACGAACTGTGGGGGGAGCTGAGCAAGGAGCCGAAGCCTTTTAACCTGTACGCGTTCAAAAACAACTGCCCGGTCGGGAGGGTGGAGGAGGTGACGCAGTTTACAACAGGTGAGCGTCACACATGCGCAGACACACTCACGCACACTGCTGCCAAGTCAAAAGCAAATCACTGACTGACTGACAGAAACTAAGTGATACAGAAAGATAGATCACTCAGTGACACCTACTCCTACACGTGCACCTACAGGGGAAACATCTGCCATAAAGAATGAGTGAATGGGCCACATAGCTAACCACAGGTGTGCTGGGTGTCAGAGACGTGAAGCTGTGACAGACAGGATTTACTGGCAACAGAAAGGACAGCCATGCCTCTGATCACATTGTTCTTTAACACAGCCGGTTCTGTTTTCTTCCCTCTGCCTGTCAAGAACATACTGTTTCCCCGAGAGACAAAATAGAAACTGAAACGAGGGAAAGAGATGGGATAGGAGAGTAGAAGATGAATACAGGATGTCAGCGGGGGCGTCTGTCCTTCTGCTTAATAGAACATTCATTTGGCCTGTCACGTTTCCCTGCAGCGGGATTGTTTGTTACACAAGGAGTGTGTTTGTGGGACACGCGCGCACACCAGCAGACACGTCTCTGCCGCACGCTGCACTCATGCATTGTGTGGTTTCCCATACGAGGTGTTGTTTTCCCTGCCCTCGTGACTGTCTGTTTGCTTTGCAGTATACACATTAAATTCTAAACTTTCTCCCGTGCAATTTTCTCTCTTCCTGTCCAGACATCGGTAGCTGGCTGCAGCTGTTTGGCTTTCAACTTCATAACGTGGTCCCCGGTTTCCCAAAGCCTGAGGTGGGAAGAATGGAACAAACATACGAACTGATGAAGGCGCCGACCAAGATGCAGGACTGGGACTCCAGCAAGGTGAGCATCACACCGCTGCTAGATTCTTTCATATCTAACACTGTGTGCCTGTGGTAATGCTTTGTATATTTAAACTATATGTATAACATTTTTTCAAATGTACTAGGGTCTTTAATGTGACTGCGAAACAATATTTTTCATAAAGATATGTCACACACATATGTATATATATATACATATGTGTGTGTTTGTGTGAGACATAGCCTATGTCAGTGCTTGTGATTAACACTTTCATAATTAGTCATTTATCTCATTCGTTTAACACTTTGGGTCTTCATGTGAGATCAGACCGAGAGTCCTCCGCAGAAGCATGAAAACTCAAATTACCTGCTAATTATCTGCCATTTTTATGACCTTAGTGATTCTTCCTAATCGGCTATATGGATGAAAATCAACACTGAGTTGATTATTATGAGAATATTCTCCAAAATGAGTACGAGTAATGAAATGATTAGTTGATTTATTAATTAGTTCATAGACTGATTGTCGTTAAGGTAAATTGGCACGAGCGTTTGAGGGTCCCAGTGTCTCTGTTTTATAGCGTTGCGCACAGCGTGGTAAGGCCACAGCCACCCTGCAGTGTGTTCAAACCTTGCGGGTTTAAAGCTGGGCCACGTTCTTCCTGTTCATGCATGTCTTTACTTCTGCAGTCCAAACACACGCATGTTGTGTTAACTGGTGGGTTTTAAGCTGGTTGATGTAAATGGGCGTTTTGTCTTCCTGTCAGAGACACGTAGGACGTAGCTCTAACACATTAAAATTTTTCTTACATCCACCGAGGACTTCAAGGTCAACTTAATGAGAAAATCCTTATAAGATAGAAACTATTATTCTTAAAAATGTAAGAATAATGGTGTGATGGGTATTCTCAACATATGTTTCCTACTGCTGTTGTTTTTATTGACACCATATCGTCATATAAGAAAAGATATGGGGGGATTTGAAATATCACCGACCTTTTGTTCAAGATCAGATAAGGTCAAACTTTGATAAAAGGTCTTATCTTCAAAACTGTGACTAAAATATTGGCTTTGGTTGTATTGGCAACAGTAAGGAAATTATATTGATTATGGGTAGATTCTAAATATAATGTTAATTAATTATTTAATTCATTACTCATCTCACTTTTAAGTTCCACATCTGCTTTTCTTTCATGTTGATACCAAAATGTGTTACATCTTTAAAAAAATATTTTTAGAATTATATTATATTATATTATATTATATTATATTATATTATATTATATTATATTATATTATATTATATTATGAGTTCAGTTTATTCATGTCCAGTTATTTACATTAGTACTTTAGTATCCATGACCTGCTCCTACATAATGTTTGTGTAATCCGAGTAGCCTTATCTGACTTTCTTTGCTGATGTCTAATAGACATTATCAGTAGTGTTAAAGGCACTCTAGTGCTCGGGCAGCTAGCCAGTATGAAGCTACTGCCTATAGCACCGTCTGTCACATGTTGTCTGTGTGATGACACATCAGTGCACATTTCTTTAAAATTGTAAATTTCTGTAAAATGACGATACGTTTTCACTCTGACCAGAACATGATGTCATACTTTTTGAGAATAGTGTGTTAATTTTGTCCTGTACATTACAGCAACAATCCATAACCCTTTATTAAATTTTTTATTTTATTTTTTTAATAAATGTGTGATCAAATAAATTTTTTTCATTACTAAATATTAAAAAGGAATTTACTGAACAATAAAATGTAATAAGAAATAATAATAAATATACTCCAAAGTATGTGACGTATATTAAAATAGTTTTCAACACAACAGATAAAATAAAAAGCACTTTGCACTTGTTTTTACTGCATTTCCAAACGTCCTAAAGTCGGTTTAAAAGCAGCCACGCAAACTGCAAATAAAATATGATGCTATTTTTTTAAAAGTTGCCCAGACAGTGATGTGTCTTGGTGGAGGTTTGCCTCTCAAAGTGCTTCATGTTTTCTACGTGTCGAAATATCTAGTGTGGATCGTGTGTTTCTGTACGTCATGCAGAACGCTGTAATAAATGAGTCCGTCTGTTTTTCTCTAGTTGGTTTTGGGAATCCAGTGCGAGCTGCGGCGCCAGCTGAGGAGTTTCATCTCCCTGGAGAGGTTACCTCTGGTCTCTGAGCCCGTGGGCTCCACCTGCCACCGACCGGCGCACCCCCCTCCCTTTGGCTCCCGGCCCTCCATCCTCGGCCCCAGCATCCGCTTTGCAGTCTCTCACGGCCGAGTGAGCGCGGAGGTCATTGGAGTGGCCAGCGAGGACAGCCGCCGAGTCGCGGCCATCTTGAACGGCGCCATCCACCTCACTGGGATGAGCTTCACCGTGCACGGCTGCGACACCCACCACTTCCTCCAGTCGCGGCCGATCGAGGAAGATCTCGCCCTGGGGCTGGGAGTCGGGGGCCGCGTCCTGGAGAGCGGCGTGAACGTGAGCGTGTCTCAAATGAGCGCGACGGTGAACGGCAGGACTCGGCGTTTTGCCGACATCACTCTCCAGCAGGGGTCTCTGTGCCTGTGCGTGCGGTACGGTGGGAGCGAGGAGGAGGAGAGGGCGCGGGTGAGGGAGGAGGCGAGGAAGAGAGCAGTGGAGGGAGCTTGGGAGAAGGAGAGAAGGAGGGTGGAAGCGGGAGACGCCGGGAGCAGGGCGTGGAGCGAGGTTGAGAAGCAGCAGCTGCTGTCTGGGGGACGCGTTCAGGGTTACGACGGCTACTACTCCCTGCCTATAGAGCAGCAGCCGGAGCTGTCTGACTGCCCCTCCAACATCCACTTTATGACACTGAGCGAGGTGGGGGGCAGGTAACAGAGACACACGAGCGGCCCCCCACCCCACCAAAGACTGCCTGTTTCTACTCTACTCTGATTTGTTCTACTGTTTCTATACTGTATCGGGGGGGAAAAAAAGAAGACGACATCAGAGAAGAAGAAGAAGAAGAGCGAATGTGTGGGGGAAAAAAACAAAAAACTTCCAAATGCCTTTAATTGTGACAAAATGATGGTATTTTATTATTATCGTCCAGTTTCTCCAATTTCTAACAGTGGCACAAGCAGTGTGGTTTGGCTGTGGCTTTGCTTTTTTGTATCTCTGATCAACCCGACCGACTCGCCGACCGACCGACTCGCCGACCGACCGACTGCCATTCGCTGTTTCAACACTGTTCATCATTTTCTGGACTCTGCTCAACATCACGGCACTGTAGGGAAGAAGACTTTTAGGATCTTGCCAGTGAATAATCCTCTTCGTGACTCGAATCGAGAGCTCTTCGGTTTGCCATTTGAGTTCCTACATGGTTTACCTCGGATATACTATCGTTTACATATTGTGTAAGAGAGGCCTTGTCGACTCTGACACTTCCCCCCTTTAGAGAAGGAAAGCTCTTGTGGTTTTCCGCCTCTGGTGTGCTCCAACAGTAGTTTGTATGAGTGTGTATACTTAAAAATCAAGAATGTATATAGCCAGTGCTTTCTCACACTGAAAAAAAGAAGTGCTCAACTGGAAGTTCTGTTGTTCATAAGTGTCAGTATTGTTAATCAATAGAAAAACAGTTACATTTTTGCAAAGAATTATACATGGCTATAGTAAATATTCTCGCTGAAAAATCTGACTTTATTGGGTTACAAAGCTGATTAAAGTTATTATGTGTGAATTACCAAAATCGCTGGCTGGGATTTCATAGACGTTGTTACTTATTATTTCTGCCCCTGTCCTCCGCTCGCTCTCGTTCACGTCGTCTCCGCGCCTCCCCGCCACACATTTGTTGTGCTCTCTTTGTTCTTGTTTCTGGGAGTTTGTAACTTTTCAAATCTGTGCTGTCATTATCACCCATCATTATGGCTCGAACCGAGATATGCACGAGAAAACCTGCGTCGTCTGTCAGAGGAGAGGGAGCAGAAGAAGAAGAAGAAAGGGGAGGAGGGGAGAAAGAGGGAAAGAAAAAAAGAAAAGCACAGAGGAAAGGGAAAAAGAAATGTGACAGCTGAGGCTCAGCGAGTGGGTGGTGAGTGCAGAAGGGGCAGGACCTGGAGTTGGCTGAGCTGTTCTCTCCAGCTTGTCTCCTCTCATTAGGAAATGCCAATCAGACTACATGTGAACCACTTCCAAGCCTCTCCCCACAAAAAAAAGTTTAAAAAAGAAAGTAAAGAACTTTTTTTTTTCTTTAAATGTTGCTAATCCACCTCCCTGTCCGTCTGCCTCCCCCATCGCCTCCCCCACACACACACACACACTCGCCTCCCGCCGTCGCTCCACCATCTGCCCACCATTAATTGTTTGTGTTTCCTCTCCCGGGCCGCGGATGACAGACACACACACACAATGCATATGTTCTGACTGCGAGCAGGTGATATACATTCCCGACTAGCACTCTGCCGATCGGCCGCGATGCACCTTCCCTTCGAAACCATATGCTCCGTTAGATACTGTCCAACCTCATCTCAGCGGTGAAAAGATGGAGGGTCCGGTTGCTAGGAGACCGCTGCACTGAAGAATTGTCTGCGCTGAATGGATGCTCTCCTCTTTCAGCTCCGCTTTCTCTCTCATTTTTTTTTTCATCATGTAATGCCAATCAGACGAGTGAATGATGGACCCACACACACGCATGCACACACACCAGTAGTCAGCATTCTCTCTGTGGAAATCAGCACTCCAATATGTCAAATTGAATTTTTTTCTCTCGTCCCCCCCCCCTTTCCCCTCAGCATTATGTCAAACGCAGGCTCGGGTGTGTACGGCTGTGTGTGGATGACCTTATTTAAAAGAGTTTATTTCAGCCAATATCATTTATTTTCTTTGCCGCTCACACAACTCTATTGCATTAAGAAAACAGAGCACAATATTTGTTGTCAGCTTATGTATGCGGTAATGGATATTAATGGTTCTGCAGCTGAATCTTTTACATCCCAGAAAGTTAAGAGGGGAGGAGAGAGGGGGGGTTGCACTTTCTGTGCTGCATATGCAAAAAAAAAAGTAGAAGGAGGCTGAGATCTGAGTCACTGCTGGAGCCTAAATGAGCTCAATGTAGCAAATGGGGGGGGGGGAATGACATTTACTTGATGCACATTATGCAAAAAACGCAAACAGCAGGAATGGTGCCCTGGCAGTATTTCTGCTTAGAAATGAGGTCAGTGGTGCAGCTTAGGGTTCGCCCCTAACCAAAAGCTTGTCGCACCTCCTTCTTGTTCCTGTTTTTCTGTCCCTGTGCAGCATGTGGCATCCGCTGCTGGAAGTAAGGGTTCGGGCTGCTCTCCGTCGTCGACGAGCTATTACAGGGCTCCTCTGTGTGTGTCTGCGCCCGTCTCTGAGCGGTGACAGGGTAAAGCAGAGGCATGGCAATTCCTTGTCCAGGCTTCTGGAAAGCTGCTATCAAATTCTTGATTTGCCGGAAATATCGTTTCTGCACACCAGGAGTGGTCTGAAACATGAGAGGGAGAGAGAGAGAGAGAGAGAAGAAGTAGAAGTGCAGAGAATTCAGAGCATTTCCCCATCTCCACATCAAAACCCCAGTGGGGAGATGAAGAGGACGGGACAGAGCCGCCTTGAAATGAGCTCTCGCAGATTTTACCTTATAAAAAGACATCAGATACGCTGCCAGTGGAGGCAGTAATACAAGTGCGTCTCGGGGATGGACTGGGGATGGTGTCAATTATACATTTTTTGCATATCTGGATTCAGTAATCCAAAGTAAAAGGACAGATAAATAAATAAGACGAGGCAGAAGAGATAAAATATATATAAGAGCTGTAAAAAAAAACAAAAAAAAACACGTGCTGTGGAAGGGAGGGAAACATACTGATGATATACTCAAGGAGTTTAAAAGCTACACTGGGAATATACGGGATGCAATTACCTATGAAAACATCCTCTCCTGTGGGTATTTTAAATAGTTTTTAAGTCAATAAAAAGCATTATTTTAGGATTAATGCACCACAAGATGCTTTAACAGTCCAGTAATCTCAAGAGCCTTATTTGTAACAGAGAAGCACTGAAATAAAACTTAGAAAACACACACAAATATCTTTTAAAGAAATGATGATAGCTTAGTAAAGTCATTTTTCTCTCTCACAGGGAGCTTTGCATCATTTCTAATTGAAAACGCTCTCATCTTTCTCTTTTTCTATTCTTTCCACCCCCTCCCTGCACTTGTTTGTTTGCCCACAGCTGTCACTCCAGCGTTTAATATTCCTAAACCACTACAGCGCTATAATTTTGTCAAGTAAGGCCTTTAAAAAAAATACATTATGTGTTTTCATTCGGCCCCATCAATCAAACTGCAAATAAATAAATAAGTACAACGGTGAAAACGGTTTTCTTTCGATATGGTTTTTTTTTAAAGAAAAAAACATATCATTTAATCAAATGTGGGGAGCTCTCCCGCCCAGCACAGCACTTTGGATGTTTCCTGTCTCCGGCCACAAGTGTTACCTCTGCTCCTGAGAATATTTCATTAGAGTGATTGATATTGCGCATGAATAATGGAAACTGTTATCGAGCTTGTAGGGAAATTCTTGTAATTCAAGCCTCCACACCGAAACCCAAACATGCACACACACGCACACCGCTCTCCTTCAATCCCTCAATCCATCCCCATCTGCTCGCCTGACGGCATCAGTGAGAATGAGCGAGGTTAAAATGTCGCTACGAGAGCGTCGCGCTCAGTCGGAGATAGACGCGGCCTTCAGATGTCTCTATACATTCCCAATCCCGGGGTGTTCGCCACCCCTCGGCGCTCAATTACACATCCCATCAGAAATGCTGTCAAATGCAATATCCCCCCCCCCCGTCTCTGGAGTATATGCTGATGCTGTGGCATCTTCAAAATTTGAGGTGGGGGTTGGTGGGAGATGGATTTCACTGGGTGTTATTGCTAAAGCAGAAGCGTACCCATTTCTCAGTGCTGTCACTCCTCAAAAAAACGAAACACATGTTTGTGCCTCCGCAGCTTGTTGAATTACAACCAGCACCAAAACTACTTCTAAACCAATAAGCGAGGCAGATGTGTGCAGCTGCTTCTGGGAACTTTTCTGGGGAGGGGATGGAGTGAAAAGAGGCACAGCACAGACTAAAGAGCGAGACCAGGATGAAAAAAGAAATCTTAATAGTAAAATGTCTTACCTCTGCTGCCCATGAGCCTGCATCATCTCTGTGGATTCTATATGTGTAGACGTAGCCTTGGGATCTGCATACAAACACAAACAGAAACATGGGTTTGTATTTCAGTGTTTCTTCTTACTGTCACTATCACTTCTGCTTTTGGGAATCTTTATTTGATGCTTATTAAGAGACCACAGTTACTTATTACTCAGCCGGTTGCCGTATTGCCTTTGCGCTTGCATTTCTCTCTAAACGTGAGGGGATCGATAATCTCTATAACTGCACAAAATAGGATTTTGTATGTGTTGATGTGATTATGAGGTCTCAGCCTAGAGAAGTAGAACAAAAGCAGATGTTGCACTTTTTTCTTTGATTGTACTCACAGCACACACAGGCAGTAGACACCCTCCACGGTGTCACTGTTGCGGACTAGGTAGCACCCGTCTCGGCCGTCCTGGCCCAGCCGCCTTTCTCCCTCGTCCTTGCCGATGGGTCCGTGATAGACGGGCAGGTTTTCCATCACAGTTATTCCCCCAGATGCTCTTTTTCTTCTGCTCCCAAAGTGTCTCTTTCCCCACTTTACCTTTTTTCCCTTCTTTACTACAGGAAAGCTTTTTCTTGCCTTTGCTGCATATGCTCTGGACTGGGAGCACAGGTAAGGCAAGCTGTCTAGCCTCTCCTTCGATCCCCGCTTCTCACCGGTTCAAATATCTGCTCAGGGAGTCTGAGCTTTGGCGTACGAGCTCTCTGATTTCTCTACACTTGTTTACCTACAGTGATAGCAGCTCTCTCACTAACCTCTAACCTTTCTGGGTTGGCTCTTACAGTCTTCCTCGTTCTTTATACCACGCACACATGTGAGCACGCACACACACGCACAAGTAAAGTGTGGGTTTGTCTATCTCTCAGGAAATGATTCTATTTTTTCTTTCTTTTTTGACAGGAAATAACATAAAAGATTCTAACAGAACATTTCCACAACAGAAGAAAGCACAACAGAGGGATAAAGTGAAGCAATCTCGCCCCTTTTTCACATAGGAAAAACGTATGCTGTGATGATGCACTAACGCGCACTGTTTCCAGCCTCAATTTGGTTTCTTGTCAGCAGAAGTTTGCTCAGACTCTATGGCTCTGAAACAACTTCTATGAATTGTGTGGCACAATATGTAGGCAGTCATGGAAGTTGTGCTCAGATCCTTAATTATACATGCTTGTTAAAAAAAAACATGTAGAATATATCAGAATGATTTAAAATTCCTAATTAAGTTTTTAAAAACAGTTTGAAAAATAATAAATGAAATCAATAATACGCAACAAAATTGATTTAACAAGTGAAAATAACACAGCTGTTCTTTTAAAAGTTTCAAGCTTGTTTTTACACATTTAGACGATTTATTAAAAATGGCAACAACTATTTTAATTTCTCAAATCTTTGTTGTTTTTAGTGTAATTGTGAAATTTGTTGGAATGTCAGATAAATTTGTCAACATAACTGATGCCTGGTTACATTGTGTATACACTCACCAGCCACTTTATTAAGTACACCTGCTCATTTAGGGATTTTAAGCATGAAGAATATGTCAAGACAACCTCTAAAATTTAAACACTTCAAAATGGGAAAGAAAGTTGATTTAAATGACTTTGCATGTGGGGTGATTGTTGGTGTCAGAGGCTGATCTGAGCGTTTCTGCTGATCTAAGATGGGCTACCACAGCATAAGACCACAGCTTCCATTACCTTATCTGATGAGTATCTATTTCTGCAGCAGCATTCAGACAGTAGAGCAAGAATTTGGCATAAACAACATGACGTAAAGACTCCATCCTGCCTTGTATCAGTGGTTTAGGCTGCTGGTGGTGTAATGGTGTGGGAAGTATTTTCTTTGGCACACTTTGGCGCCCTCAGTACCACCTGAGCATCATTTCAACACCTCAGCCGACTTCAGTGTTGTTGCTGACCATGTCCATCTGTTTGTGACCACAGTGCACCCAAGCAGGATAACATCTCACAAAAATTAAAGGTTTCTTGATTATGACCACCAACAAATCTCCAGTAACTGTGTGATGTCAAGCCAATATGGGCCAAAATCTCTGAGAAATGTTTCCAGCACCTCGTTGAATTAAGGCAGTTTTAAAGGAAAAAGTGGTCCAACGTGGTACTAACAAAGGATACCTAATAAAGAGGCCAGTGACTATATTACTGCAAAAAGTGGAACTATAAAGTAGTTCAAAATAATAACTACATACAGCTCACAGCAGTGAACTGCAGCTATTCTCACTTATTTTCACTAGTTTGTTTTAGAAATGTTTTTAAATGCATATCCAAGTTTCCTGAGACCAGGAGCTGTAACCTCCTCAGAATATTTCTTTTTAACTGCCACCTCAACTTGCTCAAGATTCAAATGACAATATTTCAAGATTAGATTCGCTGTGACGTTTTTTTCCAAAAAGCCTTCCACCTACAAGTTTATGTGACATGATGTGTTAAAACCTCAGCTCATTTCGGCGTTGACAGTTTTAATAAAGGGGCAGATTCGTCCTATTTTCCCACCACTGGCCTGCCTCCCTTTGATGCGTGGCAAAAAAAAATCTCAGCAATTCTTATTATTTCTCTACTTTAACTTGTAATGGAACACATAAAGAGGAGACAAGAAAAGAAAGAAAAGTCTAATTTGCACTTGGGTGCTCAGCTGAATTAAACTGATATGTCAGAGGAAGACATTTTAAAGCAGATAAAGGAAGGGAGAGAAAAAACCCGAAGCAATGTGCTTCTCGGTATTTCTCAGCATGCATTTTCTCATCACATGTCCACACATCTCCTCAGCCACATATCTCTTAGTCTGTCTTCTGCTTAAACGTGTGTTCAAAGACACTCCCACCTGTTCTGTAGAAGAGCGAGGAATCAGCTAATGAAGCTGCGCGTACAACAAACTCATCCAGCAATCTGTCCCATCAGTAGGAAAGTTCTGTCGTGTCAAATTAAGAGTCTGGTGATTAAAATATTCAATGTTTACTGCGGTGACATTACCACGGGAAACGTCAATTTGCTGATAGCACGGCGTCTGGTACTCTGAGCTCATCTGTCATGTTCAGATGTAGGCTTTTTTATTTGCAGGACTGAATGCTGTTCTTGACCGCATGGTGTCCTTCACATCACCAAAAAGCTTCTGCAAGAAAAAACCCTTCAGAAAGGTTACCCATGTGACTCTGGCATTCAGCGTATTCTCCAAGTGGGTGGCTCTCTTTAATGCGGCTTTTGTCGCGGGTGTCTGTTTTTATACATTCAGAAGTGTAGCCTACATGAGTCATCAGTCTGTGTCAGAGCCATTTTTCCCTCGGCTCAGAAAGATCATGAGCAGTGGGACTTTGGGCCTTTGACTGGGTTAGCACCCAATGGCATCTCTTTCAATGATTCTGCAGCATTTTAGCGCCACCCAGTGGCATAAAGCGGGAAATATTCATGTATTTCAAGTAGACTGAAGAAGTTTTCCTCACTTTATTTATTAGCAGCCCCCCCCCCCCAAAAAAAAAAACCCATTCAAGATAGAAAAGAAGAATTTACCATTTATTCATAATAAAGCCTTTCAGTGATTATTAACTCATTCACTGCCATTGACGTCTATAGCCGTCAATTGCAGTGAATGAGTCAATGGGTTTAACTCATTCACTGCCAATGGCTGGCAGTGAATGAGTTAATTTAGCTTTCCTGCTTGTAAAAATTCCTTGCAACCACCAGTCCGGAACAAAATTACTCCATGTTGTATTGCCTCTCAGCTCACAGAGAGACAGCCCAGGGTCAATGCAGAATGCAGCAAATCTATACTGGACACAAATAGCAGGCAGAGATATATCATTGATCAGCTGCAGGCTCCCTCAACCAACACAAGCGGCTGGACTGGAATGCATCATAAGGATATTAGTATGAGATTATGATATCTGGCCTTGATATGTGTGGAATTTGTGTGAGGCTTTCTGGAAGGGGAGACTGGATGTCCATCTGCCAGGCTGACAGTAATCTCAGCTCTCATATTCCCAGGTGGGGAAAGCTCGGAGTCACAGCTGTTAGAGGGTAAGACGGGGGAAAAGGAACATTTGAAATCTCTAGTAAATTGATCGGGTTTCACAAAACGGAAGGCATAGTCATTTTGGAGAACTGTATCAAGCAAAGGAAGTGGCATATGGAAAGTGGTTTTTGCTTTATTTCTTTTCCCAATACATACAGATAAATGTCAAGTACACATGATACTTTGGTCCCCCCAAAAGAGGAAAAGTAGACCCTTTTGTGAAATTAATGTATTTGTTTTTAGCTTGTTTTCCTTTACAAAAAAACAAACAAACAATTTAATATAAAATATTATTATACAATGAGATATTTCCTTTTAGAAAAATATAGGATATAACATTTGTATAAGAACAAACCATACTTAAAAAGCATACTATTAAATTAATGCTAGCTAGTGAGATGTCTAGAGCTAGCATAGGCTAACGCTAAATTATCAACTAGACTTTTAAATAATGTGGTCTGATTACCCAACATAGCAACACAGCAACACAATGTAGTTTCTTATATTTCATAGTAATTTGTGCTCGAGGAACATAAAAACTAAAGCAATGCTTAAAAGTCTTAAATTAGCATAGATGTAGCTTGCACTGCTTATAGCTAACAGATTTTTTTTTTTATTCTGCGAGGCTATAAAACAAGCTGTGAATAAATCATCTTTATATACAGCAGCTATGGACAGAGATATGATCATTTGTTTAGATTTGTGTTTATATCCAGATGGTGAATTCATATGCAGTATTTGTTATGTTTTAGCTTTGTTTGTAGTTTCTAGCAACTCCAGGGGGAATATCTTCTTCATTAGCTGCTAATTGTGCCACTCTGTTCAGTTGCTAGGCATAAACTGTGCCTGTCAGCTGTTTGGTTCTTATCAGGTACTGTACATTAAGTTTTGACAATGTCGTTTTTCCAAAATGATTCCCGCTGCAGCCAGAAATTACATCATGTGAGTGACTCACAGGAGATGCTTGATGACTGTCCAAATCAAGTGTGGAAAAAATGTTTTATCTACAGTTATTTTTTGTAAAGCAGAAATGACCTCTGCTAGAATTTGACTTAGTTTTAGTAACAGCTCTGTCTCACACAGCCACGCTCATTGGTGTTCAGCAGTTATCACTGAGGGGATGAGAAAGTCTCCTTGCTGGAGTCAGGGCTGGGAATTGGGGCAGGTACGCAGAGCCAGAGGGCTCCACAATCGCCAAGTCTTTGAGGTCACTGAGTTTTCGTGAGAAGGAGCTCAGCCTGGTGCTGAAGGAGCCCCTCTTCTGGCTGTGTTCTTCCCCTCGGGCCTTTAAACAAGCACACAGGCCCTTGCATAAGCCTCCTAGACGGCCACGGAAATGGTTCCCAATGAAGCAGTAGAGCACAGGGTTGATGGCCGAGTTGGAGAAACCCAGGCAGAGTGTGAGAGGGGTGAGGTTTTGGATGCTCCAGCTTACCCAGCAGCTGTCCAACCAGCCTTCACTATAGAGCACATCCAAAAAGGTCACGCAGTGGAAGGGGAACCAGCAGAGGAAAAATGCCAGAACCACTGCAGCTACTGTCCACAATACCCTTTCAAGCCCCCTACCCTCCAGGGGTCTGGCCCCACTTGACCTGGGATTCACAGAAGGGGTGGGGGGTCTCTCCGGTTTACTATAGCCCTCGTGGGACTGTAGTGATTTAAAGGATGACATGCTGTGTGGGTGAGACAGATTCTGCATTCTTACCAACCCCGTATCAACCAACAAATGTCTACCAATAGCACAGTAGCAACAAGAGATGACAAGGAGTGGTAGAAGAAAGGCCAGAACAATCTTTATCCAGACCAGGGTCCGATACCAGGTATGATCAGGATATAAAATTGCACAGGCCTCCACACCAAGCACATCCAGGTAGTAGGTCTCCCTCAGAGCTAAGGTAGGGCCTGAGCAAGCACATGCCAGAACCCACACAAGGATGCAGATGAACCGGGCGCGCTTGGCGTCTCGTGCACTTTGGGAACGGAGTGGATGCACAATGGCCAGGTAGCGGTCTATGCTCAT